TTCACATCATGAAGCAAGCACACACTTGTCACTCTTTCATTTACCTAAAGTAAACCTGTACTAAAAGAATTTGCGTACCACCTTCTAAAAGTATTCATGTCCTGGCTGCCACAGGCTTCAGTACTTCAAGCAGAACCTCATCCACATGTGTGCAAAACACTTAATCCTAATCACCTCCAAAAAAGCCCCTAAAAAAAAAAAAAAAATCACTGTTGTCCCTGCAATCATCTAAACTGCTTTGATGATGTTACAAGTCCTTCTAAGCCAAGGTTTCATGATGAGACACCTCTTGGGGACAGGCTGCACTCATGGAAGATAGGTTGAATGACACTAAGGGCTGGTTCACACCAGAATCACACAAGAATGTGACCTGCATTCCTGTGCTATTCGTTGTGTTGGGATTACAGACCATTCATTTGAATGGACTGATATTGTACTGGATCACACAAAAAGTAGTGCATGCATTACTTTTGAAAAACACACTGCACCAAATGGTACCATATGATCTGGTGCAGGCAAACGTACTGCATTTGTAACATGCGTTTGGAGTGTTAGCAATATATTGACATCCACAGCAGACTGCAAACCTAGTGCGTTTTGAACATGGTGTAGGAAACTCACATAGAAGGCGGGTTTCCACACCACATTCTGGTGTGAATGAGCCAAAACTTTTTTTTTTTAGCCTAGAAAAGGACTGGCAGTATTGGACAGAGAAGTAAGATGGGGAAAGTGCTGCAGCATGGTAAGGATTAAAAGACCATGACATACTTTTTTTTGTTTCTTTTTGTTTTTTATTAATACAGGAGGGAAGCCAGAACATATTTTAAAAATACTAGGGTCCTACTTTAGGTCACAGACACTAATCTGTGTTTCCTCATTGCCCTGTTATAGCAGTGACCTCTAGCAGTCTTGTTTAATGTCTCTAGTCTACAACTGTCTCCTGAAACAGGTTACCAGTCTCCTGAAACAGGTTACCAGTCTCCAGCAACTCCTTTATCATGTCCAGTTTCCTGCAACATATCCACAGCTTCTGACCATGTCTTTTGTCCATAGTCTCTCATAGTTGCTGATCATCTCTGGTATCATGGCTGCAATTTCTAACCATCTCTATCATATAATGCCCACAGTTTCTAAACATCTCTTGTATCATGCCCGCAGCCTCTGACCATCTCTTGTGTCATGTCCACAGTCTCTGACTATCTCTTGTATCATGTCTGAATTCTTTGACCATTTTGATGTGTATCTGCTATCTCAGACTGAATATGCACTTAATTATTTATGTGCAGCCCCCATATCATGAAAGTTGACCACCATGTGTGTACATAATACCAAATACCTGTGGAGACAAGGAATACCAAATGATCTAATAACAAGGAAGTAGTTAAAATTTCATATTAAGATAAATGCCTTAGTTTAAGAAGGCATTTCCAATGATGTGCATTCAAGCACCAACAAAGCAGTGAAGAGTTTTATTCAAAATGTCAACTATATCCACAAGGCAATTCCACTCCCTTATCCCCTTCTAAGCATTAACAGTTCCCATATATTGCTACAGTTTGTGCTTGCATTCCCAATACAACACCTCAAGTTTCATTACATCTTTAGTACTAGATTTATAGGCTATACTACTTAAAAGATACAAACCTGAAAGGGGGAAGCAAAGTCACCAAGCTCCATTCGAAGTAAAGAAAAATAAATAATTCCAGGAAGGGAGCATGGCCCACTTATAAAAGGCCACATGTGGTGGACCTGGAAAATGGCTATTTGAAGTGCACCAACTTCTTCCAAATCCAGTTCAAGACATCCACCAGCAAGTCATGTTTTTCAGAACTTAAGAAGTTGCAAAGTTATATTGTATGGACTAATCACAGTGTAAAAGAAGTACCGCTAACCCGCTTAGTGGTCCCCAGTTGCTGGTTTTGAAAACACTGGAATAGACAGCCCCTACATGCCTTTCAAGCCTTTAAGGAGAATCTTCCTTAAGGGTGAGAATGCACAACTAGGTATCCATTGTCATTTAAATTATTTAGAACTAAAACATGGAAGACAAACAATAGATGTTACCTTTACAGGTTGCTATGTAGAAGGATACTGAAAACAATTCTGTTATAGAAAAACACCAGCCTTGTTAAAATAGGTCTATATTGTAAGGGTTTTCATATTTATTGCAGGTTCTTACCTGGTTCTGTTCTGGAGATATTACATACATTGTTTTTCTACAGGCTGCTGAAATTGGCCAGAAAGGGAGTGCTGACATTTATATTATATTTCCTGAGTCCAGAAAAAGTACACTGTAAATGAGAAGTAGTTTAATTCTTAGCATCTTTAACTTGTAGAGCTTGCTACAAAAGAGATACAAACACATGTGGTTTGCTAAACCTTCTCATGACTAATCTAAGGCAGGCAACAGATTATTCAATTTTCTTTCCTGCACCCACAGGTTGCAGGAAAGAAAATCTTAATTCCCTCATCATCACAGTCGGTGCTTATGGGGGAATCCATCCTGATGCACTAAGTTTTCTTGCTATCAGAATACAATGATCACTGTACAACCCAACAGGCTGGTTGTACTTAAATTGCGATCCATCTATGGCCAGCTTAACAGAGAGCTAAGGTGCTTTCTGAATTTTACTGTTTTGAAGGAATCTGTAAGCATAAGATTACTGTCCCCCAATCTGGCTGGTTTTGGGTGTCTGTCTATAGACAGCTTCAGACATAGGTGTTTGACATATCTGGAGGAGGAGGGGTTGTGAAAAGACAAGTTAGAATGCCCTGGCAAAATAGTGTCCTCTAAGCAAGCAAGTGCTGGATAAGATTCGCATCCCTCTTGAATATGCCTTAAAACAGGAATGCCTGTATGACTCGAGCACATGTCCTAATATAAATGCAAGTCTGAGCATCCTCTGATGTCTACTGCCCAGTTTTACATACAAAGGTGACTTAAAATGAAAGCATCAAGGACTTTATGAAAACCAGTGTTGAGACAGCAAGAACTGGGAAGTTCAGGAATCCTCCACAGAAGGCAGAAAAGGATATCTGGTGATATTGTTCAACCAGAGGCATTAAGCTTTGAAGCAGCAGGAAACCCAACGGGTGCCTATGCAAAACCCTAAATGACCAAAATTAGTAGAAAAGGCAGACTGGGGTACCTGCACCTTACACAATATGTAGAGAGCGAACATGATATTCAGGTGATACAACTATTAGCATGTTTCATGTTACTAATAGCTCAGTAAGGTCAAAAGAGTATGGTTTATAAGTGATGCCTTTAGCTCCTAAAAGCTGCTGCAGGCCAAGTATTACCTTCCTCCATTATAAGTATATGACAGACACATTTTGCAGTGGTTTTCCAGGCAAATATAAATAGCTCATCAGCATGACCCTTCAATTAAAAAAAAAAAGTAATGTCCTTCACTCGTAGAGCCCTCATGAGAAAGTGTAGGACCGTCTCACCACCTTACCTCAAGTGTATGTCTAGCCAAAACTTTTTCTTGTTTTGGATACAGAAGGGAAAAGTTAAAGTGGTTCTAAACTCTCAAGGTTTATTTTACCTGAGTGCATTCTATGTATTAAGGTAAAACCTTCTGTGTCACAGATTTGCTCCCTCACCTCAGTTATACATATCGGAGTCCCATCGCGATCTAGAGCTGTGCATTAGAGCTGCGTCTCTCTTGGCTTTGTCCCTCTTCACTGGGCAGACAGATAGCAGCGAGTTCCATTCACTTCCAATCAATCAACTTCAGTGACGAGGGAGCGGGGGGTGGGGGGAGTGCTGCTGTCTGTGTCAATGGACGCAGCAGCGGGACTTGGGATCGAACCCAAACAAGTTCACCCATGTGAATCGGCTTACTATTGGGGGCACCAGCAAGAGAGGAGGACCCAAGAAGAGGAGGACTGCGGCCACTCTGTGCAATTATATTGCACAAAGTAGGTATGTATAGACATGTTTGTTATTAAAAAAAAAAAAAAAAAAAAAAAATCCCATACATACAAAAAAACTGTCAGTGTCACCGGAACAGGTGTCACAATGGAAAATTTACCTTCATCTCTTGCAGTGGTGAATTAGTTTCTGTTACAGTGACTATGGTTACCAGGACGAATAGAAAGGGTAAGTCTCTCCATCAGGAACACAGTTAAAAAAAAAAAAAAATCAGAATTCTAATCCTATCTCAAATCCATGCAAAACTGAAACAAAAACGAAGTAGTTCTGCATACCGACGCCCAGCCATTCAGCTCAATAAATTTTCAACTCTCAAAATAGTAAAAAGTCAGGAATAGCCAGGAGATTTTATCATACAATATTCTAACTATTAATACCATGCTTTTTCCCCTGATTTTGTGCACTAAGGAAACATCAGCTTACTATTTTGGAAGAAACTAGCAGTGCCATGGGCTGTATTTGCTTATATATTGGTCCAGGCAACTGAAAAGGCTGGACCAATATTTGAGGGACATGGACACTGTAAAGAAAAACTGTACACATAAACAAGATTTACAGGAGCGATGTCACATTCTGCTACAAAATAACACAGTGCATTTACTTGTGAACAGATGTTTTGTCATTTCAGTGCGAGAAATGCTAAAAAACATCAACGGATATTCCTAACAACAAATATTTTCAGTTTCGTAACTTAAAAAGAAAAAGTAACTAGAAATGGCAGGTCATTTTTACAATACATTTCAGCAGAAGTTCTCTAAGAGAAGCATCTATGTACAAGCATATACAAAAAATGAACAGCAATATACACAGAATCACAGTGAGGACATTGGCAAGTTCACCAATCTGTAGTGTCAATACAAAATGCAGAGCAGCCTGGAAAGAGAACAATGCTACACATAAAGCACGGCCGGTCAAACAGCGAATGCGCCCAGAGGTCTGGCGGGAGGGATACACTGTGCAAAGAAGCAACATGCGGTTCCATACAAACAGCAATTTATGGCTAATGGTTGATGCAAGTGTGTTAACAATGACTCTTCAGCTGCTATGCATAATTATAGTGTTATGCCATCTGTTTTTCTTTATACCATTCAACAAATTCATCCAACAATACTGGCCCTGTGGAAGAAACAGAGGAGATTATTGAAAGATCAAGAAGAATGAACCCAAAATAATGGAAACTGATGGTGTTACTCACAGGCCCCGTCCTCATCATAGTTGCTGAGGTCAAGATTAATTGTGCGGCTGAATTCTAGAACATTGCACCACTGGTCCTTGTTTATAACTTTATATTTTGATTGCTGCAAACAAGCATTTGATAGGTTATAGGAGGGAAGCAGAGTCTATTTGAAAAAAAAAATTAACACACAGATTTCAAGAGTACGCAAATAAAACACTAAAGAAGGTACTATCTCTATCAAACCAACATCAATTTGTAGTGTATATATATATATATATATATATATATATATATATATTGGAAATATAAAGTATCAATCACCTGCTTTTGCTATGAAAGCCAGATTTCAAGGTGAATGCCACAACATATAAATTACCAATTTTTCACAAACTAGTTTAAAGCTGATCTAGGCAAACCACTAAATACACAGCTGAAATACATTGATATGAATCATTTACATTGTCAAAGGTATTCCAATTTTGTTCATCCACTCATATATACAGGCACCCCTGCCAAACAGCACAACCAGGACCTTAACCTCTCGGAAGACTGGGAGGAATCTTTTCCTTAAAGGCATAGGCCTTGGAAATTAGTTGCCTAACCCACCTGGTAATGGTGGAGCAGGAAGCAGGGATTCCTATACAAGGACCACCATGGTAGAAAAAAAAAAAAAAAAAAGACTCCATCTTGCAAAAGGAGGCTGTGGCTGAGTAAGGTGGAAATAACAGAATCAAAGATACCCCTATGTGACTTGGGTTTCAACAGCCACGCTGTTAAAGGCAGTAACTGATAGGCTGGATAGAACAGGGTGCCTTGAGCCTGTAAGTCTGGTCTGTTTTGAAAAGAGAGGGCTCATCCACCAGAAGTCTGATTGTGCGGTTGATTTACTAAAACTGGAGAGTGCAAAATGTGTTGTAGCTCTGCAGAGAAACCAATCAGTTCCAGGTTTTTTTTTTTTCCCATCAAGGATTACTTGAACAAGCTGAAGTTAGACACCGATTGGCTGCCATGCACAGCTGCACCAGATTTTGCACTCTCCAGTTTTAGTAAAGCAACCGCTATGAATGTGTACCATGTTCTTCTGAGCGAATCTCGTGTGTCGAGAATCAACGGAACCCTTTCCTCCTCTATCCTGTGCAGCAGTCGGAAAAAAGGCATAAACCAGTTGGAACTGAATCCAAGGAATCACTAGAACACCCACTGTGAAGTTTATTGGATTCCTGGTCCTCGCCACAAATTTGTTCACTTTGTTGTTGAAACTGGAGGCTAGGATGTCCAAATCTGGTTTTCAGCACCTTCAACAGAGATTTTTAAAGATCTTACGGTGCAGAGACCACTCCCGATTCTAGGCATTTGCAGCTTGGGAATTCCACTGCTATATGTCCACTCCTACATTGTGAATGGAAAAGAGAGCTGGAATGTAAGTTTATACCCTTCAGAGTATTAGGGCTGTTAAGCTTCTGGTACCCCCTTGATGATTATGTAGGATACTCTGGCATTATCTGACTACACTCTGACTGGGTGACCTAGTAGAAGGGAAGTCCTACGCTGTAGATACATCTGATGAAGAGTGTTGATACCTCTGGGGACCATGTTTCCTGGACAGTCAGGGAGTTGTACATGCCACCCAAGCCTGTAAAACGTGCATCTGTTGATACCACGTTCCAATTCCTGTGAAGGAATGTCTACCCTAGTTCCAAGGCAGGATTGGAGAGCCACTGTGTCAGGGAGATCATTGTTTGATTTGGGGAAAAAAAACTGTATGGTTTTAAAAAACGGAAAACACATCTCCAGAGAAGAATATGTTCATCATCTAAGAACATGAACATAAATCTGGAGTTCCATGTAGAGGGAGGGGTTTTAAGTTTGGCTCAGTGGGCAATCCAGCTTTAAAAAAGTGGTCTCATCATCAAAAGTTAGAAAGATTTGTTAAATCCCACAGGGGACCCGGTACACAAAGAACTTGTCCTAATTAAAATCTGTATGGTGCTTACTGAGCTGCGCGATTGGATAGCTTGCCCCCTCTTCCCACCACTATCTGACCATGCAGCTCAGTGAGCTGCAGCAAGGATACAGACTTATGAGTGATGGCGCACAAGGGAGGAGGGGGCAGTACAGATATAGAGCCTTTGCCTCCTCTGTACATCTGCAGCCCTCCTCGTTGTTTGGCCCTATCTCTACTCTGCTCTCTTTGAAGGCTATCCACCGCCTTCAGCTAGTTCTGAGAATACTACAGTAGTAGCTGACAGCTTGTGTTGTGAATGATGGTGGCTGGAGAGCAGCACCATTGTTCACAAAATTACAAATTGACTGCTATTACAGTTTCTTTTAGACAAATGTAGTAGCTGCTGGCTTTAAATCTTTTTTTTTTTTTTTTTTAAATATTCCCTAAATGAAGAATCTGAAGATAAGTGATGAATGCAATCATACCTCTAGAAATTGATGAAACACTGGAAACAGTGGCCATGTTTTTCCTAACAAGAGTCCTAACATACATTTTGCTGTATTCATGTCTAAACTCCGTTGATCTTTTTCCTAAAAGAAAAAAACAAAACAAATAATAAATAAAATAAACAATAAAACGTGACTTAAAAGTAAGAAAACAAGTTAGTTTTTTCTTGCTCGGCTTACCAACATTTTCAGTGGACGGAACCATGTAAAATGCACATTACCCATTATCCTGTAATGCCTATTCCATTGCTTGGTAGAGATGGTCATTGATCTGTAAATCCAGAGTAAACAACACTGTTCTTTGTTCTTTAAAAAGGATGTTGCAGAAATATGTAATACTATTCCTGTGACTTTTCCACAATGGTCCTTACTGAGGAATTGCTCCTTAAAGTATCACTAGAAAAACCAAACTCCAGCTAAAATGTTTTTGTTAGCAAGTACACATTTTTTTGTAGAATAAACTTTATAAGTCTCTTCTGACAAAAAAAAAAAAAAAGGATTTTTGTACTTAAAAATCTATCCATAAAATCTATTTCTTAAAAAGCACTGAAGAACACTGAATTCAGAGACTATTCGGTTATACTGACAGCTGCAGGAGGATTTGGACAGTGGCAAGAAAAGGGGAAAAAAATTACCAGCTCTGTAATTCTCTTTTACTCCCAGTTTATTGACATAGATCATAGGCACAGAGGATGTATGCCCTTTGTCTCTCAATGAACTTCAAGAAAACGATTGATGGGGTGGTCAACAGCAACAAAACACTAACAGGTCCACACAATGACAGCAGAACATGGGGCTGCCTGCAGCTCAATAAGCCACCTAAAGCTTATGACCAAAACTGGAATCAGAAACCTGAACATCCTGGTAAAACTTAGGGAACATATGAACAAAAGACCAGGTGGCAGCCTTTCAAAGATTGGATGATGTTCTGTCTGAACCACCAATGGAATAGTTCCCCTATTCAGGGCATTAGGCATGACAAAGAGAGAGTCAGCCTTTCTAATTGAAGAAATGGCTGCAAAGTAGACATTATGATTCACTGGAGCCAGACTGAGGGACAGAAGAACAATGTTCTGGCTGAGGTAAAAAGGCGTAAGCCAACTTGTCTCTGTGCAAGACCAGAAATGGTTATTTACAGGACAAAGCCACCAACACCTGTCCTTTCAGACTACCTAAGGCCAAGTTCTGGTTGTAGAAAGTCAGAATGTGATGCACAGGGCAAGCTTTTGGTGTGATGTACCTGTGTTGAAGTGCCTGTGTGCACAACACGCAAACAAGGATTTCAGGTACAACAATAGATCTTTCTGAAAGTGGCTTTTCTTGCTTTTAATAAAGTAGGAATGCAGAATCCAGAGAGAATCCAAGATCCCTTTGTCCTTTCAGACATGGACCTCAACAACTAAGCCTTTAAAGCTAATGACTGAGAAGCAGGATGGAATAGAGGTCCCTGAAATAGCAGGTCTAGGCTGTTGGGAAGAGGCAAGGGGTCATCTCCTAGTAGTCTGAGTGCGTATCAGGTTTCTCTGGCCAAGTCTGTTGCAATGGGAATCACCAGTTTCTTCTCTTGCTCAATTTTTGCAAAGCAGGCAAGGCAAAATTGGTATTGGAGGGAAGACACAGATTAGCCTGAACTGAGGCCAGGGAACTATCAAAGCATATAATAAATGTGTGTTGACTCCCTCTAGTGAAAAGAAAAAATAGTGTCAACCAAAATAGCTAAATAACACACATTAGGAAACTAAATATATAGTGCATAAATCAAATATAAATGAACAGAATATATATATACGTGAAAACAGAATATTGGCCACATACAGTGGTATCTAAATTATACATAAATGATATATGCCATAGGTGAACAAGACAATATCAAAGGTGAAAAAAATATTCCATGCATGTGACTGTGCTTTAAGCTGGAACACACACGTGATCTCCACTTCTAAGTGCAAGTACTCTCCTTCAAATGGCAGCAATGCCTGCTCACCTCCCTTCCTCGACCCACACAGGGCCTCAAAGCAGTTACCACCTCAGTGGTGTATTCCTCTGGCAGACTCCTTATTCCTCCTCCTCTCTTATGCAACTCATAAAAAGACAAGAAAGCCTTCCATAGTGTAGTAAATTTAATAGGCAAAGTTAAAAATTACAAAGTATTCCACTCACATGCTCCTTTCCATAAAAAAGCGTTTTTCCCAGCCTGTGGGTAGATATGCATGCACCTGGGGGAATCCAATATGGCCACTGTGTCCGGACATACGTCACCAGGAAGTAGACAAACCGACGCGTAGCGTCACGTGCGTCGTGACTTCATCAGGGTTACCGCCCCCTGGTGACTCAATGGTATTTATAGAAAAAAAAAAAAAAAAAAAAAAAAAAAAAAAAAAAAAAAAAAAAAACCTAATTGGATTCCATTGTGAGAGCAGGCATACGGCGGACATCTTATTAGAGTCCTGCACTCACATACATGAATCTATCCCATATACGAATTCTAGTGCTGGATACCAGATATAAATCTCCATATGTCATATTCAAGATATGCACATATAGGAGTAAACAAATTATATATTTAAGCCTATATGAACCACATCTACATCTTTAATGGTGCAATACCACCAAATCATAAACTTTATTAATCATAAATATTAAAACCATTAATCATAGTGGGCTTCCTTATTAAGTAGATATATAAAAACAAAACAAAAAAAAAAAAAAAAAAAAAAAAAAAAAAAAAAAAACGCATGAGGGTACATGTTCCCCCATGCGTTTCCAAAAAAAAAAAAAAAAAAAAAAAAAATATAAATATAAAAAATAAATAAAAAAAAAATAAAAATAAAAATAAAATAAAAATAAAAAATAAATAAAAAGTAAATCATTAATAAATAATGAAGGAAAAAAAAAAAAAAAAAAAAAAAAAAAAATTAAAAAATATATATATCTACACGACCATTGTAAATTAATTCGAATGAATGCTCAAAGAGCTCATTAAATACCGATTTAAAAGAACAATTAAAAATAAAAATAAAAATAAATAAAGTGGCATGCACAAATACCAATAGCTTGGGTTTACAAAAATACATTCGTTATATTAACAGAATTAAAAAATATAATATGTGAGTTAATATTACCAGAGATATTTTATATGTAAATTGCTGTTACCAGATCAATTTTCTAACATTTAAAATTCAAATTTAAAAATCGCTAATAAAACAGTTGAGATCAAAACTCAATATTAAGGCCATGCGGTGCCTGTGTATGCATGGTATACATCCATCTCGACTCTGCCTGACTAAGGGATTTAATCTTATTACTCCCCCTCCAATGACTCACATACTTCTGTATACCCCAAAATTTGAGTCCTGAAAGGGTCTTTATTATGCTGTTTTGAGTCATTGGAGGGGAGTAATTAGTAATAAGATTAAATCCCTTAGTCAGGCAGAGTCGAGATGGATGTATACCATGCATACACAGGCACCGCATGGCCTTAATATTGAGTTTGATCTCAACTGTTTTATTAGCGATTTTTAAATTTGAATTTTAAATGTTAGAAAATTGATCTGGTAACAGCAATTTACATATAAAATATCTCTGGTAATATTAACTCACATATTATATTTTTTAATCTGTTAATATAACGAATGTATTTTTGTAAACCCAAGCTATTGGTATTTGTGCATGCCACTTTATTTATTTTTATTTTTATTTTTAATTGTTCTTTTAAATCGGTATTTAATGAGCTCTTTGAGCATTCATTCGAATTAATTTACAATGGTCGTGTAGATATATATTTTTAATTTTTTTTTTTTTTTTTTTTTTTTTTTTTTTTTCCTTCATTATTTATTAATGATTTACTTTTTATTTATTTATTTTTATTTTATTTTTATTTTTTATTTATTTTTTTTTTATATTTATTTTTTTTTTTTTTTTTTTTTTGGAAACGCATGGGGGAACATGTACCCTCATGCGTTTTTTTTTTTTTTTTTTTTTTTTTTTTTTTTTTTTTTTTTTGTTTTGTTTTATATATCTACTTAATAAGGAAGCCCACTATGATTAATGGTTTTAATATTTATGATTAATAAAGTTTATGATTTGGTGGTATTGCACCATTAAAGATGTAGATGTGGTTCATATAGGCTTAAATATATATAATTTGTTTACTCCTATATGTGCATATCTTGAATATGACATATGGAGATTTATATCTGGTATCCAGCACTAGAATTCGTATATGGGATAGATTCATGTATGTGAGTGCAGGACTCTAATAAGATGTCCGCCGTATGCCTGCTCTCACAATGGAATCCAATTAGGTTTTTTTTTTTTTTTTTTTTTTTTTTTTTTTCTCTATAAATACCATTGAGTCACCAGGGGGCGGTAACCCTGATGAAGTCACAACGCACGTGACGCTACGCGTCGGTTTGTCTACTTCCTGGTGACGTATGTCCGGACACAGTGGCCATATTGGATTCCCCCAGGTGCATGCATATCTACCCACAGGCTGGGAAAAACGCTTTTTTATGGAAAGGAGCATGTGAGTGGAATACTTTGTAATTTTTAACTTTGCCTATTAAATTTACTACACTATGGAAGGCTTTCTTGTCTTTTTATGAGTTGCATAAGAGAGGAGGAGGAATAAGGAGTCTGCCAGAGGAATACACCACTGAGGTGGTAACTGCTTTGAGGCCCTGTGTGGGTCGAGGAAGGGAGGTGAGCAGGCATTGCTGCCATTTGAAGGAGAGTACTTGCACTTAGAAGTGGAGATCACGTGTGTGTTCCAGCTTAAAGCACAGTCACATGCATGGAATATTTTTTTCACCTTTGATATTGTCTTGTTCACCTATGGCATATATCATTTATGTATAATTTAGATACCACTGTATGTGGCCAATATTCTGTTTTCACGTATATATATATTCTGTTCATTATATTTGATTTATGCACTATATATTTAGTTTCCTAATGTGTGTTATTTAGCTATTTTGGTTGACACTATTTTTTCTTTTCACTAGAGGAGTCAACACACATTTATTATATATAGTGGTCACTTTGATTTATAATTACACTATATGGAGATACATGATTGTATTCATGTGATACAAGCGCTTCACTAATTTTTAATTTTATTTTGCACTTATTGGTATCAGCTAAGTGACAGCAGCTGTATTTTGTCAATTATTCCCATGAGCGCAGGAGGATCCCTTATTATTTATCAAAGCATATGATGCCAGTGCTAGAGGAGCCTGATCCTGGCACTCTGAGCTCAAGACGTTGATGAGGAGCTTGGCTTCCACCGATAACCATGTTCTCTGAACTGTGTGCCTAAAAGACTGGTATCTGTCGTTACCTGAAGAGCTGCAGGGGAACTGACAGGTCAAATGGGATTGGGACGGTTTAGGCAACATGTTTTAGAGCTGTCCGCCCCCTACTCTCAAGTCTAACCACATTACAATAATGGGAGGCATACAAGTAAAAAAGTGGAAGGACTACAAGGATCAGCATAGTGCTTAAATAAAACCAATTCAAAACAAAATAGAGCTGCTCTGAGCAACAACATTAACCCCTTGGCGTTGATGTAACACAAATATGTGGCTTCACAGAACTGGGCATTTTCCGTGGTGCCTCATATCTGCATACCTGTCTTTGTGGTGGGAGCGTGCCGCACAGCGCGCTCCCAGCACAAACACTGGGGTGTTACTGAGAGCCTTGCGTCCTGTTTTAACGATTGGGACCAGGGACTCTCGATTCCGGATCATATGATTGCTGTGATAACCTGAGATCGGCTATCACAGTGATCAGTCACTGTGAAGCCGGCCCCCCTTCCCCCTTTTTCTCTCTTTGACTGGAGGAGAGAGATACAATGTATCTCTTTCTCTCTCTCCTTGCAGATAAAAAAAAAAAAAAGGAAAACAACTGTTTCCAGGGTTAGTGTTTGGGTTAGTATTTGGGTCAAGGTCAGGATTTTTAAAAAAAAAATTTTAAATTGGTATCAGTGTCAGTTAGTACCACTGTGTTTTAGGTGAAAAAACAAAATGTGCACTATTGTTTCTGGGCTGTACTACAGATACAAACAACAAATAACATACACATATATGAATTTATTTTGGGTTGTTCTTTGGTGGTAGGTTATGGTAGTAATAAGAAACACACATAAGTTATAAAACAGCCCAATTTGTCTTGAAAAAAAACAAGGTATAATTCACCTGGATGTGCTAAGTAGTTGTGATGATATGTACAGTTTTACTAACACATGTCAAAGTTGAAAAATTGTACTTCGGCTTTAAGATTTGTTTTGCCCTTAGACATGAAGGCATGGCATAAATTAAACTAATGTAATGTTTAAAAAAAAATACAGTGATGGCTGTATTAAAGCTGTTAATTATCAAAGGAATTTTGACAGACTTAAAAGTCTGCCTAATCAGGTAGGCTGCCTGCTGCGTGCTTAAGAAACAGCTGGAATCAAATACAGAGACCGCTGTTAAAATCCAATGCATCTCATCATGAGATTAGGTGTGTTGTGTGGGCACCAGGCAGAGCAAATGCTCGCTTGAGCTTTTGCCATGCCTTCCTTTCGCCTGGTTTCCACAACTGCTAGGGTTAAGGGCAGGGACAGACTGACCATTTGGAAACTCGGGCACTGCCCGAGAGCCCGGGATCAGTAGGGGGCCCCATGAGATGCCCCTGGTACCTTTTTCATAGGCTATTTTGAGTTTGGGCAAGGACACAGGGGCCCCATGATCCCCGATTGCCCGGGGGCCCCATGAGTTAGGCCCCATGAGTTGTCAGTCCGCCCCAGGTTAAGGGTATTCCCCTTGTGGGGTACCCACAGTGTGTCCAAGAAGGAGTACCCAGCAACCAGGTGCAGACCATCCTTGAGAGAAGTCCTTGTGGCAAATGTGAGAGAGGAAGCACTGGAGTACCTTATAAAGGGCTCTAGGTGGAAGTGATGTTAAAGTGTGCAACAAGTGGTGTAATGTAACAACTGCTCATGTACTTGAGACTAAGTGGATGAATTTTAGAGTAGTGTTTGGAATTTATTCACTTAAATTTTCAAACACAGAGTTACAGGGTTACCCTGTCTTACCTGTCCAAGTCGCTGGTCCCTATATAGAGTCTAGGCTTCGCCTGTCATGGTAGTCTTACACCTGGTGGGGTTTTCAGGGTCATAGGGATGGATCATGGACCTGGGTCTGTATAGCACCCTGCGTGCTATCTGCACACATTGCACAAAGTGCCAAGGCGAGTGCCTACTCAGGATCAAGTGCCCAAAGTAACATTACAGGTTGTCCCCACAGAATGGGGTTCAAGTATGGTTCCCAAGGTTTTACCAAAAAGCATGCCTTCTACTGTTTTAGAAGATAGGTAAGTGTTGATTAAAAAAGCCAAAGAGAAAATAAAAAACTATTTAGGCTAGGGGTGAGTTCTCTGAAAGAGAGAAAATGTTTATCACCTAGGACATTAGCAAAGAAACTGAGGACTCACAGAGTGGGGTAGGATTATAGGGGGACACCCATAGGGGCATGTCCTTAAAAGCTTGCCAGTATTCAATTACCCAAGGTACCAACCTATAACCCAGGGTCTATAAAAATTCAGCTTGTGTCCTGTACTGTAGGATTACATAGTAGGAAAAAGGCATGCACCCTTCTGGGACTCAAGCAAAAAAATAAGGCAAGCTAGGAGTAGGAAGAGTTTTACCGGGATGGACAAGGTTTTTTTTTTTTTTTTTTCTTTTTTTAACCAGTGTCCAAATCCTCATGTAGGCAGCAGTACACCACAATCTCTCTAGAGGGGAGATTTAGGCCCCTTTCACACAGGCGGTTTGCTTTCCAATCATCAGTTCATAGATCCTCTGCTGATCAGAGCAGAGTGGGATGGGTGACATGTCTGTGTGCAGTTAGTTTATGCAGAATGGACAAGGACAGAACCCATTCTGCTCTATGTGCGGCCGAGAGTAAACAGATTCTGCTGTCTGTTTACACCCGGATGTCTCCAATCAGGTCTGTCCAAACAGGCCTGATGGACACAGAGGTAGGCAGATATAAAACAGACACAAGTCCATTTACATCAGTTGGTCTACAGAAATGCATGACCTGACAAACTGATCGAACTGATCAGATCGCCCGTGTGAAAACGGCCATTACTAATATTTGTGCACAGAGAATCTGGTGCAGCTGTGCATAGTAACCAATCAGCTTTTAATATCAGCAAGTGAATTGGATACCATGCACAGCAGTACCAGATTTTTGTGTGCACCAGTTTTAGTAAATCTCCCCCATACCTTGCCAGTGAACAAGAAATAAAATTGTTTGATGTGTCTGCTAATAAATCTCTTTACTGTACGCTGTAAGCCCACTCTCAGTATCTGCATGATTTGCAAAATAGAGTCGGGTGCCAGGGAGATGAAACATAGTAGTTAAAGTATCAGTGTCCACCCAATGACAGGCCTGGAAGACCTGTAAAAGATGTCAGCAGCTGCGGATGGAGTGATGAGGGGAAGTGCGGACCTTGCAGTGCAGGAAAGCACATTAGAGGGTAAGTGTGCCATTACAAGCAAGTATACTGTTCATGATTGCATATTATGGCGAACAGCTTCAGAGATTTTAGCTCTGCTTTTTATTTGCAGTGATAAACTTGATATAGAATACTATTTAAATATAATTCTGATTTGCAGTTTTACTGCACCCCTCGCCGCTCACTTGGAATTATAACATTAAAGCCTAACAAGGCTGTACACAGGTCAGAGCCGCAATGCTTTGCTTCACGGCTGCAGCATTTTTAACTTGGGCCATAAAGTGACAGGTGGCACCACTTGTCACACTTGCACATTCAGATCAGTGGGGAACATCACAAGCTAAATGCTTGGTTTGTAGTTGTGGCATAGTGCTGCAATGTAAAATTGCTGTGCAGCAATGAAAAAAAAAAAAAAAAAAAGTGTAAGGAAATGGCAGTAGTGCCTCCTAAACACCTGCCAGCCGCCACTCAACCACCCTCTGAAAAGCAATCCATCACAGATGGTGTTACCGCCTATCTAAGAACGCCCTTACAGATGTACAAAGACAATGGGCTTATCCTGTACAATGCAAATCAACTCTTCCATGTTAAAAAGGGCACTACTTATAAAAACGTAAGTGCAGTTTAAGATTTATTACCACACATTAATATGAATTTTTCACCATACATTCAGCATTTGATGTTTTACAGCAGTCTTTGTTTCCATTCTGTTAAAATGCCCATACTGCATTGATACTGAATATGTTTCTTTTTAAAGTCAACTCCAGGCAAAAAAAAAAACATTTTTCCTATGCTGTGGGGCTGCGCCCGCACTGCATGGGTTAACTATTCATTTTTTTCTAGGGGAGAGGAGAGTGAAGATATACTTACCTGATCCTCACAGCACAAGACCGGTCCGGCATCCCCGCTCTCCAATGGTCTGGAGTTGTGGACGTCATCACTGCCAAAGCAGGCTCTACAGATCAGGAACAGTTCATTGTTTGACCTCGAGGGAGCGCTGTTTTCAAGCGGACCGAAGGATCAGGTCAGTACGAGCTTTCTGTTCACTCCCACAAAAATGAGCAGTCAACCCATGCAGTGTGGGGCACAGACCCACTGGATGGGGACATTTTTTTTTTTGCCCAGACAGGTTTTAAGTCAATGCCAAACTGGAAAATGACAGTGATATTTCCCATTGAAAATACAGATCTCTATGTTTTGTTGAAATACCCTGGCAGCAGTACCAGGTGAATGCTGAAGCTCAGTAACAAGCTATCCAGTGTAATTAGAAGTAAAACATTTTCAGTTATTGGCAGTGAATCTTACCTACCCGTGCAAAGTCAAAAGCATATCTATAAATAAGTTTAAAATTTGTTGGCTCATTTAATAAAGATCTCAAGTAATCCAGAGTGTTTCTAAGTTTCTCAGTGGTATCACATCTAAAAAACAAAGACAAAACAGTTGGTTGAAGCAGATTTAAATGTTAAAATTTATATTTTGCATTAATCAACAGATGTCAGCATTTCTAAACAATAAATTATTGTGGATAAAAACTAACCACTTTTGATGTTATAAATAAATAACTGTCCTCTTACGAGATCTAGAGACTAGGCAAAAATCACATGCTGTCTTGTAACTAAAAGCTTGCAGGCATTTTATAGAATTATAGACAGCAGTGTATATTTTAGTCCGCCAGAGATCCTGCCAGTAATAGCAGATTATCAGTACTGCTAAGAAATGTCTGTATATGTAATGACCAAATATGGCTGCTGAAATATACACAAAAATTACTAACTTTATACAGCCACACTTTATTTTTAAAACAGTTTAGATTGTAAGCTCTAACGAGCACGGCACTCTCATTCCTCCTGTATTGAATTATCACTGTACTGTTTGCCTTCATGTTGCAAAGCACTGTGCAAACTGTTGGCGCTATACAAATCCTGTATAACAATATGATAAAAAAAATAACAATCAGGTTATTACCTCACAAGTATTACAGATTTAAAAATGTTTTTGTACATATGGTCTAAAAAAGGGGCAGGCATTTTCACATCCATAGGAAGGATCTTCTTCCTGCTTGAGAGTGCTGCAAAGAGATTGTGCCCTGCAGTTTCTCAGTACAAATCTAAGGCTGGCCATAGGTGGCTCAAATTTCAGCACTGTTCCCTTAGTGGCAGAGGTTCACACTCAGAGTAGTCCTAGGGCAATAAGAGATGTCCCCCACAACTGCATATGCAGTCCTAAGATCACACCCCTGTTCAGTTTCCCCAGCCCCACCCAGTTGCCTCAGAGGTATATCACCTTTCTTTGTTCTCTCATCTTCTTTTGGGGACTGAATATCCTAAATGGCTCCAAGCTCATAACATGACCACCAACATCACATTTTCACATGATCAATGGGCTCCACCCAGCTACAAAACTACCAAAAGGAACATGGGAAGTCTACACACAACCATGAGGGTCCACAACCATGCTTGTACAGATATGGATAAGAATTTTTATGGAACTGGCCTCTTTCTTGAGCAGATATAGATCCCACACCATTAATAAGGCTATTGCTTGGGCTTGGATCTTTTCAGTTGAACAGCTGTCTGTGAACAACATTTATAAACGGCCTCCCCGCACCCTGCTTGTGCGCGCTCCCTCGGAGCATGCAGCACCGCGATCCGGTGCCCGCTGTGTCCTCCGGACACAGTGAAACACCAATTGTCGGCCGGGACCTCTGTACGAGGTCCGGATCATGTGATCACTGATTGGCCAATCAGTGATCACATGCAAAGTAGTAAGCAAGATGTCACTTGTGACATCATGCTTACTACGTGTGAAATTTGTGAATGATCACAGAGGTCACATGGTACAAGGCTATTCACAACAGCCTTGTACCATGTGACAAGCTGTGACCAATCACAGCTCACTCAGTACTTCTCAATGACTGCAAGAATGCACACAGAGAGAAAGAGAAATGATTGCTTTTACATCCTATATGGGTGTAAAAGCAATCAGTGTAAAAAAAAAAAAAAAAAATCTTTATCACCCCTCACAAGTAGTACAGTGTCACCATGGTGACACTGTACTGCTAGGGTGACAGTATGTAAAAAAAAAAATAAAAATAAAAAATAATAATATAAAAAAATAAAATAAAAATGTAAAAAAAAAATGTTTAAAAATTATAATTTTTGGTTATAAACTAATTTGTATTTTTTTTTTTTTACTAAAGATAACGGAATAAATTTTGGCAAAGATTTATGATGAAATATTATTTATTTACAAAATTTTATTTAAAAAAACACTTTTTTTTCAAAATTTTTGGACTTTTTCATTTAAATAGCAAAAAAAATAAAAATCCCAGCAGTGAATAAATACCACCAAAATAAAGCTTTATCTGTCTCAAAAAAAATGGTAATAAATTCATTTGGGTACAGTGTTGCATGACCGCGCAATTGTCATTCAAAGTGTGATAGCGCTGAAAGCTGAAAATTGCCCTGGTCAGGAAGGGGGTAAAAGTGTCCGGTCTGGAAGTGGTTAATACCGCACCATAGCAGAAAGATGACTACAGCATGATTCTCTTGTTTTGGGAGGGCATCCAAGGATGCCCTTCCAGAAAGAGCCTCCTGCACTCCCCCTGGGGCATGCATCCAGCGAGCTCCGTGACCGATGTGTCCTTTGCACACAGATTGAGGTAATGGACCAATCACAGTGTCCCTTTACCATGTGATCAGCTGTGTCCAATCACAGCTGATCCCATGCAAACAAAACTATCGGCATTATCTTTCCTCACACGCTGTCGCTGTGTGAGGAAAGGAGAGCTGGTAACTGGCAGGGCTGACAGGGTACATTTACACTGATCATCAGTGTCCTGATTATCAGTGAATCCCCATCAGTGACGCCTATCAATACCCGTCAGTGCTCAGTGAAGAATAAAAATTAGAAAAATTACTTATTTGCAAAATGTTATAACATAAAAAAAATAAAGACCGACAATTTTGAAAAAACAAAACAAAAAAAGACAATTTTTTTTACTTTTTGCTATAAAACATAGCCAGTAAAAAATTTAAAAAAAATCTAATTTCATCATAAATTTAGGCCAAAATGTATTCTGCTACATGTCTTCTCTAAAACAAAAAAAATCCCAATATGTGTAAAATAATTGGCTTACGTAACAGTTAGAGCAACTACAAATGGCGGTATACATACTGGAATTTTATACTAGTAATAGCAGAGATCAGCGACTTCTAGCGAGACTGCAGTGGGCAATCTGACACTTCGGGGGGACGGGACGAACTAACTGCCACTGACATTTCAATGACACTAATACAGTGATCAGTGCTAATAAAAAGCACTAACACTGTACTAATGACAATGGACAGGAAGGGGTTAACATCTGGGGCGATCAAAGGGTTAACTATGAAGTTTTACTGTGTGTGCTTTACTAGGGAAACATGCTGCAGTGTATTTCTCTGCTGTAAAAAGAAATACACAGAAGCATGTTATTGCTGGCAGGAGAGAGACCTGTGTTGTTTACACACAGGTCTCTCCCGTCACTAGTTCTTGGCGACCGCCAGGTGCCAGCGGGGAATCTCCGGCCGGTACCCAGTGATTGACATCTGTAGCCGCCAATGGCGGTGCTGGTAGGGCGGCGTGCACATGCCCCTTACCCAGAAATGCAAATCATGTATATATACACATGATTTTGCGCAGCCCTGCCACCCTGTAAGCAGTATTTCTGCTATAGAGCGGCGGGGAAGCGGTTATATACCACCAAAAGAAAGCTCTATTGGTCTCAAAAAAATAATAAAAATTTATGATCGCGCAATTGCCATTCAAAGTGCAAAGGAACTGAAAGCTAAAGGGGGTGAAAGTGTCCAGTATTGAAGTGGCTAATGGCTGAAATTGGGGATAGTCAAGGAAAAAGCTAGATTTAGAATAAGAATCTCTGTAAAGTATGTGTTTGTTCCTGAAAGACTGAGGTACAGGCAAAGATGCAGGAACACAGCTGTCAGCACAGACATGTTCCATTTAGCATGAAACTTAACTTCAAAAGCAACATACTAGCAGTTTTAAGAAATGTTAAGAAATGTTAAATGTTTTATGTTAAGAAATGATTCCTAACCTGATTTAAGTTGTGTGAAATGAAACCAGCAGACTAGCAACATTAAGGCCTCCTTCACACAGCTGTTTAGCCATTTTCATCAGATTTCAGTCACAAGAATCAGCTGATTCTTTCGACTGGAATGACAGATGCATGCGCATAGCGGTGGCTGCTCAGCCTGTACAAAACGCTGACAGCACTTGCTGTTGTTCGCATGCAACCGCACATCAAGTGGCTACTTGCTGTTAGGCATGGGTGTCTGAACCAGGATGCAATCAGTCACAGCTGCTTCAGCCTGTTAAAACTGTCTCTGTGTTTGTTAACCACTTCCCGCCCAACCAATAGTAAAATAATGGCCAGGTGGGACTCTTGTCGAACCCGGAAGCGCGTCATATGACATCCTTCCCGGTTCACGCCTTGCGAGTGCCCTCAGGACCGTGCTGTGGCTAGATCTGTCACCGGCTGTGTACCTCGGACATGGCCGATGACAGATCTGTGTACCGGCCCTGTTGACAGTACCATGTGATCTGCTGTGACCAATCACAGCAGGTCACATGACAGTTGTAGACAATGGATGGCTTTCTTTCATGCTATCCATTGTATACAAGTATGTCTAGCTGTGAATGGTCACAGTGGTCACATGCACAGGCTGGGCTATTCACAGCCCATCTGTGTCATGTGATTAGCCGTGGCCAATCACAGCTAATCACAACAAAAAAAACCTGAATGAATCGATTTCATTCAGTTAAATGCTTACATATAGCAAATAAATTATTTGCTATAAGCAATCAAATTGTGTAAAAAAAAAATACTGATCACTTCCCCAAAGTAGTACAATGTTACTATGGTAACATTATACTACTTTGGTCATAGTGTAATATGAAAAGAAAATCTTAAAAAAAGAGAAAAAATATATAATAAAAAAAAAAAATAAAAATTATCACATTTTTTTTTTAGTACTGTTACCAGTGTCCCTGATCACCGCCACACCAGTTACATGACGCTGTACTGCACTAGTGACAGTATGAAAAAAAATTTTTTAACTTTTTTTAATTTCTTCAATTTCCAAACAATTATGACAAAAAAAAATTACAACTTAAAAAACTTTCTATGCCTCTTATGAAATTCAAAATTTTCGGTCTTTTTTTGTTTATTTAGCAAAAAATAAAAACCCCAGTAGTTATTAAATATCACCAAAAGAAAGCTCTATTTCTATGAACAAAATGATAAAAATTAAATTTTGGTACACTGTTGCATGACTGAGCAATTGTCATTCAAAGTGTGAGAGCGCTGAAACCTGAAAATTGGCCGGGCAGGAAGAGGGTATTGAAGTGGTTAAATCACACAAAATTTGTACTTAAAACAATAAATACATTAATAAATTGTGAAATTAAGTCCTTAAAGTAAAATCAATAGGTGCAAAATTTCTTTCACATCCACTCTTTGCTCCCCACCCGTGTGCCCCCAAACTCACCAACTATAGTGGACTCTTATAGTGAAGTAAGAGTCATTCACGCTTTTTGTGGTGCATGGGAAATCATGCTGGGCACACTTTTTGTGGTGCATGGGAAATCATGCTGGGCACACTTTTTGTGGGGCATGGGAAATCATGCTGGGTATGCTTTTTGTGGGGCAATTCACGCTTTTTATGTGGCATGGAAAATCATGCTGGGTATGATTTCCCATGCCACACAAAAAGCATGAATGACTCTTACTTCACCATAACAGTCCACTATAGTTGGTGAGTTTGGGGGCACACAGGCGGGCAGCACAGAGCACCTACCACCGGTGGATGTGAAAGAAATTTTGCACCTATTGATTTCACTTTAAGGACTTCATTTCACAATTTATGTATTTATTGTTTAAGTACAAATTTTGTGTGATTTCATCACTTGCCCTCCTGAGGATTTACTTCCTTTCCTGACCAGGTCATTTTCTGCATTACGGCGCTGCATTATTTTAACTGACAATTGCTGATCACGTGATCACGTGATGTGGTAAAAGGCCAATCACAGCGGCCTTTTACCACATGATCAGCCGTGTCCAATGACACGCTGATCACCGGGAAATGCAATTGCCGGTTCTCGGCTGCACTTTCCTCACGCTGTCAGATCGTGAGGAAAGTACTGCCGAGAACCGGCAGTTGTTAGAGCGAGGATCAGGGCACTGATGATCGGTGCCCAGCAGTGCCACCCACAAGTTCCGCCCACCTGTGCCCAGCAGTGCGCCCACTAGCTCCGCCCCCACCTGTGCCCAGCAGTGCACCCACCTGTGCCCAGCAGTGCACCCACCTGTGCCACCCAGCAGTGTCACACACCTGTGCCCAGAAGTGCCACCTACCTGAGTCCAGCAGTGCCACCCAGCTGTGCCCACCAGTGCCACCCACCTGTGCCAATCAGTGCAGCCCAGCAGTGCTGCCAGTCAGTGCCACCAGTCAGTGCCCAGCAGTTGTGCCAGTCAGTGCCCAGCAGTGCCGCCAGTCAGTGCCACCTATCAGTGATGTCTATCAGTACCCATCATCAGTGTCGCCTATCAGTGCCGCCTATCCGTGACACCTCATTAGTGCTGCCTATCAGTACCCTTCAATGCTGCCTATCAGTGCCCATCAGTGCCACCTATCAGTGCCCATCAGTGCTGCGTCATCAACGCACATCAGCGAAGGAGAAAAATTACCTGTTTAAAAAATTTTATAATAGAAACAAAGAAACTTTTTTTTTTCAAATTTTTTGCAATTTGTTTGTTTATAGGGCAAAAAGTAAAGTGCCCAGCGGCAATTAAATACCACCAAAAGAAAGCTCTATTTGTGAGAAAAAAATGATAAAAATTTCATATGGGTACAATCTTGCATTGACGGGCAATTGTCAAAGTGCAACAGCGCTGAAAGCTGAAAATTGGCCTGGTAAAGAAGGAGGTATAAGTGCCCGGTAGGCAAGTGGTTAAACATGTCCAGTAAAAAAATTTAAAAAATCAAATTTCATCATAAATTTAGGCCAAAATGTATTCTACTACATGTCTTTGCTAAAAAGAAAATCCTAATACGTTTAAATTAGTTTACGTGAAAGTTATAGCGTTTACAAATGGCGGTATATATACTGGAATTTTTTTTTACTAGTAATTTATTTCAGATACTTATATAGCACCGCCAATTTACACAGCGCTTTACATATATATTGTACATTCACATCAGTCCCTAACCCTCAAGGGGCATACAATCTAAAGTTCCTACCGTACATTCATACATACACATACTAGGGCCAATTTAGACAGGATCCAATTAACCTATCGGCATGTCTTTGGAGTGTGGGAGGAAACCGAAGTACCCATAGGAAACTCACGCAGTCACAGGGAGAACATGCAAATTCCAGGCAGGTGGTGCTGTGGTTGGAATTTGACCAACGACCCTAGTACTGCCAGGCGGAGGTGCTAACCATTTAGCCACTGTGCTGCCCACTGTAATGGCGGCAATCAGCAACTTACAGTGGTACTGCGGCGGGCATTCTGACACTGGGAGGAACTGACTTGGTGTCAATGACATCCCCAGTGACACCAATGCAGTGATCAGTGCTAAAAAAAAAAAAAAAAAGCACCGACACTGTACTAATGGCACTGGGCAGGAAGAGGTTAACATCTGGGGCAATCAAATGCTTAAATGTGTGCTGGGAGTTTTACTGGGGGGTGGCGTGTTGGCGCTTCATTATAAGCACACTGTTATGGATGGCTGTGCTGTGCACAGCTATCCAGAGCAGTGTGCCCGAGCCAACAGGGATGAGGACTGTTCGTAAAGAAAGCAGCCCTTCTCTGTCAGAGATCCTCGGTAATCACCGGCGGGTAATCACCGGCCGGGACCCGGTGATTGACAGCTGCGGCCACGAATGGCGGTGCGGGCGCGCACCCCCTACCCGGAAATACAAAATCATGTATATACGTGATTTTACGCACCCCTGCCGCCCTGTAGCAGTATTTCTGCTATAGGGTCGTCGGGATGTGGTTAACTAACACTGAGGCAGCGCTTCTGTTATTTTGTGTTTTATGTTGATAAGGCTGTACCTTTATAGGAGGAGCAGCCCATTATTGATTAACATTGAGTGTGCATTGAGTGGTGTGTACTAAGTGCAGGTGATTACGATCTAAGCATTGACATGCACCTGTCATTCCAGCTGCAAGAATCTGCTAATTCTTTGAACTGGAATCTGGTGCATGTGGCTAAATGGCCATGTGAAGGAGGCCTAAAAAAAGTAGTAACAACAATGACATCTTAACATACTAATTGGCAACTACTTACTGTAGGGAAGTCATTCCTTTTAACCATTCTTGCAATGTAAAGTAACCCATGTTCTGTGCATCTAATTTCCAGGCTAAAACAAGCATAACAACCTATGGGAATAGAATAAATACAAGCTAATGAGTGTTAGAACATAAAAGTGAGATTTCATTGCCACAGCAGAGAACCAACCATGAAAATCTCAAAACACAGTGCCCTTAGGCACTTGTGACACTATATTCTTCAGAAAAATAGCCCACATGCAAGTATGATACAATAATGTACATATCACTTAAAAAAGGAGATAGGAGAGAGGGAAAGAGAAGAGGGGAGAGAGATCCTTGATGACCAGCAAACTAACACTGATCTATTCCTCGTATAGTTATTTTTCCTCTACCCCTATGGGAGGTAGTGGAAATCATTTTGTTCCTTAGGGACCAAAGCCATTTCAGTACAGTTTTGTTTTTGCTGGTGCTTTATTTGCAACAGAATGCACATACACCAATTTAGAGCTTACAGACCCACAGAGAGTTAGAGGATCAAGTGAAATCATGGGCAAGATGGTTATTACCCAAAGGCCACAGAGGTCTGTAAGGATGGGCTTAGGTGGCCTAATGCTTCTCATCTAGGAATTGTGGGCAAGAATTAGGCATTATAGGATTTCCTTATGTAACTACAACAAGCACATCTGATTGTTAAAATGCTCATTATCAAAAATGAAATTTTATAGCTTGCAGACAAATGTATGTGCAATCCAATCCAATATTTTCTTTTCTGTGTGTTGAAGGACAGTGGTTACATAACGGTCAAATGGTTGCACTCAGTCTATTGCCAGTACCATTTAATTCATTAAAAAAAACATTCACTTTTTTAGGGTGAACTCCAGTAAAAACAGATAAACCCCTGAAATATATTAACTAAGCTGTCTTCCCTTGTTAAGGATTTGTATTCCGTCCCTCCAGTCCCAAGTCTTATACTACTGTGCCAGATAGGGCAGGCAAGCTAGTGCCCTGACTTTTCTCTGCTACATTTAAAAGCAGAACTAAATGTTATACTTTGAAAAAGTGCTGATTTTTTTTTTGGCAAGTAACTTGCAAAGTCTCTTTTGTCACAAAACAATTCCCACACTCAGCAATTTTTTTCTTAGAATGCGCTGTGCAGTGTACATTCCTACTCATTCTCGGCATGCAGAGAACAGAGCTAGAGCCAATGCAGGGGATTTTTGCTCTACCTTGCTCTGTACTAAAACTGCAGGAGTTAGTAGAGTTTGAACTTGATGGCCATCGGTCTTTTTGAAACTTCATTAATTATGTAATTATGAAACAAATCAAGAAAAAAAAAACAGGCCTTACATTTTCAGGTTCCACACCAATATCTTCACAAAATTTTTCCATCCCTTCTGGGCCAACTACATCATCAGTTCCTAAACAGATAAATCTGTTATGAGAGCTATCCAGAAAAAGCTTAAGACATCCTGAGCAACAAAAGCATTATAATAAACTAACAAAAAAAAAAAGCAATTTTACTACATGGATTAGAAAGGCTGGGAGGAGAGGGGGGTGGTAGTGTGGTGGAGGAGGGTATGAACATGGTTGGTCAAAACAATTCAGTTTCAAAGGCCAGTTCTCCCAGCTGAAACTTCCCTACAAGTCTATGGAAAAACCTCTATGTATCTTTGTAGCTGCTTGGCGGACAGATCAGTACAACAGAGGCACTATCCAAAGAGAACTACTACCCATGATTGATTTTATTCTTCTTGAGACAACACCTTCCATACAGATGTTAATAATAGAATTTTTATACTCACTGTAAAAGCTAAGGGTCAGAGGATGAAGACTGGGACAAGGTACTGGACTCCTGCAAGCTTGTTTCTCCAACATTTTCTCACCCACATACAGTTAGGTCCATGTATATTTGGACACAGGCACAATTTTAGATTTTGTCAGGTATTTACCACAATATATTCAAACTATAGTTCTATAATGGATATGGGCTGAAAGTGCACACTCTCAGGTTTAATTTGAGGGTATGTACATCCAAATTGGAGGAAGGGTTTAGGAATTACAGCTCTTAAGAGTAGCCACCCCCCCCCCTTTTTCAAGGGACCAAAAGTAATTGGACAATTGAATCAGAAGCTGTTTCATGGCCAAGTGTGGGCTACTCCTTCGTTATTTCTTCATCAATTAAGCAGGTAAAAGGTCTGGAGCTGATTCTAAGTGTGGTATTTGCATTTGGAATCTATTGCTGTGAACCTACATCATTCGTTCAAAGGAGCTGTCCATGCAAGTGAACCAGGCCATTGTAAGGCTTCAAAAACAAAACAAATCCATCAGAGAGATAGCAGCAACATTAGAAGTGGTCAAATCAACAGTTTGGTACATTCTGAGGAAAGAAGAATGCACTGGTGAGCTCAGCAACATAAAAAGGCACGAATGTCCACGGAAGACAACAGTGGTGGATGACCCCAGGATCCTCTCTATGGTAAAGAAAAACCCATTCACAAGATCCAGAGAAGTGAAGGACACTCTCCAGGAGGTGGGCAAATCATTGTCAAAGTCTACAATCAAGAGAAAACTTCATAAGAGCAAATACAGAGTGTTCACCACAAGGTGCAAACAATTCATAAGCCTGAAGAATAGAAAAGCCAGATTAGACTTTGCAAAAAAAACATCTAAAAAGCCAGACCAGTTCTGGAAAAGCATTCTTTGGACAGATGAAACTAAGATTAATCTGTACCAGAATGATGGGAAGAAAAAAGTGTGGAGAAGGCTTGGAACAGCTCATGTCATCTGTAAAACATGGTGGAGGCAGTGTGATGGCAAGGGCATGCACGGCTTCCAGTGGCACTGGGCCATTGGTGTTTATTGATGATGTGACAGAAGCAGCTGGATGAATTCTGCTGTCTTTAGAGATATACTGTTAGCCCAGATATAGCCAAATGCCGCAAAGTTGATTGGACGATGCTTCATAGTACAGATGGACAATGATCCAAAACACAATGTAAAAGCAGCCCAGGAACTTTTGAAGGAAAAGAAGTAGAATATTCTACAATGGCCGAGTCAATCACCTGATCTCATCCCAATTGAGCATGCATTTCACTTGCTGAAGGCAAAACTAAAGGTAGAAAGACCCACAAACAAAGAACACTGAAGGCAGCTGCAGTTAGAGCCTGACACAGCATCAGAAAGGAGGAAACCCAGTCTTTTGTAATGTCCATGGGTTCCAGACTTCAGACAGTCATTGCCAGTAAAGTATTCTCAACAAAATATTAAAAATTAACATTTTATTTTATGATTATATTAAATTGTCCAATTATATTTGGTCCCTTAGTACTTAGAATCAACTCCAGACTTTTTATCTGCTTAATTGATGAAGAAATAACGAAGGAGTAGCCGGCAACTGGCCATGAAACAGCTTTTGATTCAACTGTCTAATTACTTTTGGTCCCTTGAAAAAGGGGGGGTGGCTACTCTTAAGAGCTGTAATTCCTAAACCCTTCCTCCAATTTGGATGTACATAAAAAACTAAATTGCACCTGTGTCCAAATATATATGGACCTAGCTGATTTTATTTATATATATATATATATATATATATATATATATATATATATACACACACACACACACACACACACACATATATATACAGTTGCAAGAAAAAGTTTGTGAACCCCTTGGGATTACGTGGAGTTTTGCATGAATTGGGCATAAAATGTGCTCTGAACGTCATCTAAGTCACAACAATAGAAGAACACAGTCTGCTGAACATAATACTACACAAACATTAGATGTTGCCATGGTTTAATTGCACATAACATGTAAACATTCACAGTGCAGGGAGGAAAAAGTATATGAGGTCCTAGCTTAATGACTTCTCCCAGAGCTAATTGGAGCCAGGAGTGAGCCAACCTTGACTCCAATCAGTGTGATGATATTGGATGTGTTGCTGACAGCTGACCTGCCCTTAAAAAACACACACCTGTTTTGGGTTTACTGGTTTCAAGAAGCACTGTCTGATGTGAACCATGCCTCGCAGAAAAGAGCTCTCAGAAGACCTATGATCAAGAATTGTTGACTTGCATGAAGCTGGAAAGGGTTACAAAAGTATCTCCAAAAGCCTTGATGTTCATGTGTCCATGGTATGACAGACTGTCTACAAATGGAGAAAGTTTAGCACTGTTGCTACTCTCCCTAGGCGTGGTCGTCCTGTAAAAATGGTTGCAAGAGCACAGCGCAGAATGCTGCATGAGGTTAAGAAGAATCCCAGAGTGTCAGCTAAAGACCTACAGAAATCTCTGGTACATGCTAACATTTTTGTTGACACATCTACAATAAGGAAAACATTAAACAAGAATGGAGTACATGGGAGGACACCACGGAGGAAGCCATTGCTGTCCAAAAAGAATATTGCAGCACGTTTGAAGTTTGCAAAAGAGCACCTGGATGTTCCACAGCACTACTGGCAAAATATACTGTGGACAGATGAAACCCAGATTGAGTTGTTTGGGAAGAACACACAACACTATGTGTGGAGGAAAAAAAGGCACAGCACACCAACATCAAAACCTCATCCCCACTGTAAAACATGGCGGAGGGAGCATCATGGTTTGGGGTTGCTTTGCTGCCTCAGGGCCTGGACGGATTGTTGTCACTGATGGGAAAATGAATTCCAGAGTTTATCAAGACATTTTGCAGGAAAACGTACAACCATCTGTCCGCCAACTGAAGCTCCGCAGAGGATGGGTGATGCAACAGGACAATGACCCAAAGCATACAATTAATTCAACAAAACAATGGCTGCAACAGCACAGAATACGCCTTCTGGAGTGGCCCAGTCAGAGTCCTGACCTCAACCCAATTGAAATGCTGTGGCATGACCTTAAGAGAGCGATTCACACCAGACATCCCAAGAATATTGCTACACTAAAAACAGTTTTGTGAAGAGGAGTGGTCCAAAATTACTCCAGATCGTTGTGCAGGTCTGATCTGCAACTACAGGAAACGTTTGGTTGAGGTTATTGCTGCCAAAGGAGGGTCAACCAGTTATTAAGTCCAAAGGTTCACATACTTTTTCCTCCCTGCACTGTGAATGTTTACATGTTATGTGCAATTAAACCATGGCAACATCTAATGCTTGTGTAGTATTATGTTCAGCAGACTGTGTTCTTCTATTGTTGTGACTTAGATGACGTTCAGAGCACATTTTATGCCCAATTCATACAAAACTCCACGTATCGCCAAGGGGTTCACATACTTTTTCTTGCAACTGTATATATATATATATATATATATATATATATATATATATATATATACATACATACATACATACATACATACATACATACATACATACATACACACACACACACACACACACACACAGTTGTGTTCAAAATATTAGCAGTGTGTTGAAAAAAGTGAATAAAGCTCAAAATCCTTCTAATAGCTTTTATTTCCATACACACAAATGCATTGGGAACACTACACATTCTATTCCAAATCAAAACATGAAGAAAAATATATCAAATTTGTGTTGTTCCTCACAAAAATTGAAGAAAAGTGAATATTAGCCTGTTCAAAAAAATAGTAGTGTTTGTATTCTTCTTTACAAACTCAAACATTCACTATATAAACTGAAAAATGTTTGAAGATTTTGCTTTCCTTTGAATCACTTAATTAATATTTAGTTGTATAAGCACTGTTTCTGAGAACTGCTGTACATCTGTGTTGCATGGAGTCAACCAACTTCTGGCACCTGTGATCAGGTATTCCAGCCCAGGATGATTGGACTACATTCCACAGTACTTCTCTATTTCTTGGTTTTGCCTCAGAAATTGCATTTTTGATGTCACCCAACAAGTTTTCTATTGGATTAAGATCCGGGAATTAGGCTGGCCACTCCATAACGTCAATCTTGTTAGTCTGGAAACAAGATATTGCACGTTTACTGGTGTGTTTGGGGTCGTTGTCTTGTTGGAACACCCATTTCAAGGGCATTTCCTCTTCAGCATAAGGCAGCATGACCTCTTCAAGTATTCTGATGTATTCAAACTGATCCATGATCCCTGGTATGCGATAAATAGGCCCAACACCGTAGTATGAGAAACATCCCCATATCATGATGCTTGCACAACCATGCTTCACTGTCTTCACAGTGTACTGTGGCTTGAATTCAGTGTTTGGGGGTCGTCTGACAAACTGTCTCCGGCCACTAGACCCAAAAAGAACAATCTTACTTTCATCAGTCCACAAAATGTTGCGCCATTTTCTCTTTAGGCCAGTCAATGTGCTCTTTGGCAAATTGTAACCTCTTCAGCACATGTCTTTTTTTCAACAGTGGGACTTTGCGGGGGCTTCTTGCAGATAGCTTGGCTTCACATAGGCGTCTTCTAATTGTAACAGTACTCACAGGTAACTT